GAGTTTAGAAACATATAGCTGCAGCTGCGGTGTTCATCATGTGACCAGTACTTTGGGGGGGCCGCCCTGGCTAATTCCATCCTCAAAGTGCCGGTTCCACAATCGCAGCATATAAAGAAACAATGGACCACATTTTCTATACCGAAATATTAGAACATTATAGTTTATTGTATGGTATAGGGCGTACTTTGCGCGCTGATCAGCACTTTGTGAGGTCGCACTAGCCGGCTTGTTTTAATTTTTGCAAGCGATATTAAGGTACTATAAATATGCAACCATGCACAATTAAACAAAAAGAGAAACAATAACAATGGACATTCGTGTACATATTAGGTTGTTTGAATTGTGCGCCTGTGTGACAAAAGTTGAAAAAAAACAAAGCTTCAGTTCATAACGAAATATTCAATATTTGAGTGAATCAATAAAAACCATGCAAATTTTTTTTAGCAAAGTTTTTTAAAATTTGAAGTCAAAATAGCTTAACAAAAAAACTTAATCAAAATTTGATAAAAAATTTTTTAATTAATTCTATAAGTTTATAAGATTAATTTTATTCAAAGTTTTAAAAAATTTTTATTATAAAAAATTGGCTTGATTTTTATTGACTCACTCATTTGTTTTCTATAATGGTAATTTTATCATCTTGGGTCTTGGCTAGAAAACCGAAAATTATAAACCCGTTTATTCTTGAGCATCCTTTGTTTGCCTCACTAAAGCGAACATTTAATTGTTCATCTACAAGAAGTGGGTTGGTTCTAAATAGAGAAGAATTTCAAACAGTAGCCCAAAGGAAATTGATACTAATTTCTTTAGATTGGACTCGCCCAAAAGATCCTCCTTTATCCCTTGGTCATGCATCTATATTAGCTAATTTAAGGCATCATAATATTGATATTTTTCCTCGCTCGTGGTCGGTAAATGTACCCACCTTTTCACCCGATGACGTGGTAGAATTTATCATGATGCATGCTAATCCTTATAATGATGTTGCATTAGGTGCATTTGTTTGGAATGAACAAGCGATACAACATATTTTAAGAGAATTAAAGAAACATAAATTTCCAGGAAGAGTAATTCTTGGTGGTCCTCAAGTGAGTTATGTTAAGAAAGGGATAGAAAAATATTACCGTTATGCAGACGTTTATATTCGTGGATATGCTGAAAATGCGATAGTGAAATTAATGCTATCTAAATCACTCTTTCCTTGCATTAAAGGAGTTCATTACTTTGGACAACCAGATCTAGGACTTTCAGCTGCTGCAGAATTAGATATTTTACCTTCTCCTTTTTTAACTAAACTTATTCTACCACAGCGTTTTATTCGATGGGAAACCCAACGAGGGTGTCCGTTCCGCTGCGCTTTCTGTCAACATAGAGAATCTGATGTATCAATGAAACGTCGTCAATTCCCTATGTCACGTGTAATTCAAGAAGCGGAATGGATAGCCAAATATTCGAACATTCAAGATGTTGCGGTTCTTGATCCAACATTTAATTCTGGTCCTTATTATCTTGATATAATGGGCAAATTAATAAAAGAAAAGTATAGAGGAAAACTTTCACTTCAATGTAGAATTGAAATGATAAAAAAAGAATTTTTGGACAAAGTTGTTCAATTAAATGATACCGCAGAAACCGTATTAGAGTTTGGTTTACAGACTACTAACCCTAAAGAACAAGCGATAATAAATAGATCAAATAATATGAAGATTGTTGAAAAAGTTTTGACTCAGGTACGAGAGAGAAACATTAAAATTGAAGTATCTCTTATCTTTGGTCTACCCGAACAAACGATTACAACATTCAAAAAGAGCATTGATTTTTGGTTTAATCACAAAGTCCCGGTCATTCATGCTTTTCCATTAATGTTATTAAGAGGAACACCATTGCATGAAATGAAAGCAGAGCTTGGTCTTGTCGAATCTTATGAAGTCGCCTCACCTGAAATTGATCGTGTGCAAACAAATATTCCTCACGTTGCAAGTCCTTCATTTACATATGAAGAATGGAAAGAAATGTCTAAAATAGCAGAATCACTAGAAATCTCCACAAACAACGTATCAAAAAGTTCCAATGAAAAACATAATCAATTCTTCTAGTAACATTTGTAATACAATAGTATGTTGTAATGTAAATTTGAACGGCCTACAAATAAATATAAAAATTCCTTCAACACTACAATGCTATTATTTGTATCATGTTGTTATTAATACATATTAAATTTTTATAAAAAAAAAACTTTTGTTAAAGCATTAAATAGTTTATAAGCAAGCTTTTTAAAAATAATATTTGTATTATATCTGATCTTTATATTGTATATAATTTAATTAGCAAATTGTATAAATATATTGCAAAGTGTTATTGAATAGAACTATTTTTATATTCTAATAAAATTCCTTGAACTTATTTTAATACTAATATAATTAAAGTAAAATAAAAACTTATGGCTTTGTTAAAATTATATGATTATAAAGTAAAATTATTTTAATTATCTTATTCAGTTATTATAAAACGTACCTATGGTGTTTTACACCTATTATACTGTTATATGTTTTATTATTTTTCAAAGTTTTTATAATTTTGTATATAAAGTATTTAGCACAAATGTTTCATGTTAGGGTTAGTGTTTAGGGTTAGGATTAAGGTTGGTGAGAGGTTTTTGGGGCGTAGAACAATTTACTTAGAACACCCCACACCGATTAATTTTCCAGTTTTTGAGATAATATATTCATAAGTGTAAAACACCATAAGTGCGTTTTAGTAAAAGTCTTTCAGAATGAATAAAATATAATATTGAGTCTTGTATGAATTCTGTTAAAACTTTCTGCTCACTTTTTTAATAAAATAATAGCATTAGAGATACTGAATTCTCATTCTGGGTAAATGATCATTCAAAATTTTTTAAAAACAACTGCCAATCACAATCCATTGTTGGTCAAATAATGCTGGATAACTTGCATTAGTTGGTTATTTGCGGCAGTGTTTAATTACGTACGTAATGACAAGCTAAACTGAAATTGCAGATGGCAAAAAATAATTTCACTGTAAATATAAATTTGTATCTGTAATTTTTTCGGTTTCTCTCACTTCGTAGACAATCATTTTATAGACATCTTTTTCACAGACAGTTAATTCGCCTACATGTTTATTTTGCAGAAGATTAATTTACAGACAAATTCATTTCACAGACAGTTCATTTCACCGATAACTCATTTCATTAACAGGTTATTTCATCTACAGCTCATTTCACCATTAATTAGGGTTCAGGATTAGAATTATGTTTGTTAGTGCAAGTTATAAAAAAAAAAAAACTTGTATGTGTAATGAGTTGCCGGTGAAATGAACTGTCTATGAAATGAACTTGTCTGTAAATTTATCATTTGCAAAATAAACTTAATCATCTATAAAATATGGCGTCTATGAAGTGACTGTCGATGAGAAATTTTTACCCCATATCCATGGGCAAATAATCAATTTTCTAACCTTCGTTCCACCTCCTTTCCTTTCGAATTTCCCAGATCTTTAAGAACAATTGCCCACACAAAAATGTACTACTCAATATATAACCAATGAGATTATAGAAGGAGCTTTAACAGCATTTACACTTTATTTATTTATAATATGTATATTTTTCACAGAAACACCAAGATTATGCTTAAATTTAAAATTTGGTATCTACGAGCAGTTTGTGTAAAGTACAAATTTAAATCTTTACCATACCGATTTCTGAAAAAATCAATATTATGTAATTTAATCATAAATACAATGCGAATCCGTTCAGTGTACTATCGAGCTCTGAACGAAATCCGCTTTATTTACGAAATGCATAAGCACGTTAATGAGTTCTATAAAGATTTCGATTGGCTAGTTTGATCAGACAAACAATCAGATTATTTGTTGAACCCATTGGGAGAAATGCTTGAGAACGTCTTAGATCTGGTACAAATTTTTTTCCTTGGCAACACTCATTTATGTTAAACAATTCATCCACGCTACCCATAACATAGGATTTCGAAGCGATAGACATTTATAAATTTAATATTTTATTATTTTCTACAGAAATCAACTCAATTGTAATGTTTTTATAAACAGAAAGAGTCAAGCATATCTTCCTCAACAAAATGATAAAAAGATAGTGATAATAAAATAACAGCGATAATAAAAAATATGATAAGGAAATAAATTCTAATAACAATATCCAATATATATATAACCGATAATAAACGTTGAAATGTTATAAAAATTTAAACCGTCATCATAGCCTACTAAGGTTGTTTTATGGCTTGAGACCTTATTTTCTCTTACGTATAGTACCATATTATTGTTGTATAGTTGATATCTCCTTACTAGCGCAAAATAGCAAATCGTTCTTTTAATTTTGTAAGTTCTTTTTGTTTATTTAGTAGACTTTGAAGTTCCTCTGAGGTAAATTTAGTTTGCAAAAGAGTCTGGCAAGTAGTCAGTTGTCCTAATAGCCGCCCTTGAGCGAAAGAATTATTGGAATCATTTTTATTTGATTCATTTTCAGATTCGATAATTTGCTTGTTGGTCTGCAAGAAAAGATTTAAAATGGTACTTAAATTATCACCTGCTTTACATTTGGCGGTAGCTGTTAATTGCTCAAAAGTATTTGTTTTCTCTTCAAAATAGGGTTGAAAATCTTTCATTTTAAGTCTCTTGATTTCTTGCTTAAGTTTATTAAAATCAAGATTAGTGCAAGGCAAAACTATGTTATTTAGTTCTTGAAATTGACTAAATGTAGGAGTTTGCTGTGTCTCTCTATTTAACCTGACTATGGTTCGATCTTTTTGGGCAAGAGATTGTTTAACATAAATGAGTGTTGCCAAGGAAAAAAATTTGTACCAGATCTAAGACGTTCTCAAGCATTTC